TTATTATCAAATAGGGTGGCACCCTTATGATATATACCAGATTATATACTATGCTCTGAAACAGAACTACAAATAGGAGATATCTTATGTAATATTGCCGGATAGTTTATACAGAAGTCAAAGGTTGGTTTTGTCCCATGAAAATGGCAACGTAATGGGTATATTATGCCACCTTTTGCATTGAAATGCCTGCTTATTATATTTTCAAACTTTTTTCTCAGCAAGTCCTTGACTTTTGGAGAAATTAAGCATTTTCTTTCAGAGTGCAAAGCATTTTGGCCAAATTTCTGCTTGTAACTCCTGCTGACTTTCAGGCACCCAGAGGTGAGGAGAAAGGGTTCTTAGCAGCAGCAGCAGCAAAATCTGAGATAAGAAGACAGAGAGATTAAAGCATGAAATACATTGCGCAAAACAATGCACTTTGTCCCTATTTGTTTACCATTTGCAAAAACAGGCAATAAGTCCTGGTGAAGCAGTATTAAAAAGTAGGTTTAAAAGTGAAAACAGCAAGGTTGAGGTGAAGGATTGATCAAAGTATAGTTTATATTTATTCAGAAGATCTACCAGTACTTTAAAACAATCTATGTTTAACATGGCAAATTGTCTGTCATTAAAATGCTAATGAAATGGTAAATAGCTGCTGAGTTTTTATGCTAATGAGTAGTGTCACCTAAGTAGTTCTCAAGCCTTGTCTTTATTAGCATAGAGATTTGATTGGGTAAGAGGGATCATTGTGCATGCCAGCCTTTGTTGATGGAGTAATCTGTTTGTGAAGTTCCCTGTTGCATTCAATTTGATTTGGATTTTTTAGTATAAAGTGACTCTCACCAGGCCCTCAGGTACCAGGTACACAGTATTATCAGAGCCACCACTGTGGGCTTAGAGAAAGATCTTTGCCTCCCTTCAGGACACCCACAATGGCAAAATAATTACACATTTGTTTATTGTTCAGCTTTAAATAGAACGAGTCTATGCACTTACTTTAGACATTTAATGACGATAGTATTAACAAATTAAGATAGGCCACTGGTATGAGAAATATTTCTGTTTTTTTAATTTAGCTAAGAGTTTAAAGCAAAGCTTTTAAGATAAATATTTTAATAAGGGCTTCTGCAACATTTGATATATTTATATAATACACCATTGTAGATCTGTAAGCACTGAAGTTAACATTACCTAATTTGAAGAGTAATGTGTAATTAAATACAGGGTGGTTACGTGAATGACAGGCTGAGATCAGAGTATTTACTTGAGCATCAGAAAAAAAACATTACTCTCAATCTATACTTTTGGCTGGTTCTATTTCTGCTGAGTGCTACTCTGTCTTCCCTAATGGATGGGGCTGACCTCAAGACTTGCCATTACAGATAAATGCTTTAAGCACGCTTCTCTCTTTTTTCTCTTCTGTTTTTTAGGATCAATGTAAATGAAGTATGACAGTCCATTAAACACTATTGCCAATAATGCTCTGGAACAATTTGAAACATGATACAGAGTTTATTAAGAAAATTCATTACCAAAAAAGGATCATTGAAATAGAAATTTTAATGAGTCTGGGACACTGCGTAAAAGATTGGTGGAAATTTTAATAGCTGGAGCATTATCTCATATTGTTCATTTCTCCTTGAAGCCAATAGGAGATGTTAGGCATATAATTATTATGTGGTCCTACATAGGCAGGCCAGGAAAAATTGGAACCCTCATACACTGATAGTAATCATGTAAAATGTTTCGGACCCTTTGGAAAACAGCCTGGCACTTCTTCAAAATACTAAGCCATCTAGTTACCAGATGACCCAACAATTTCCAAAATTTGACTCCCAGGTATATACCTGAGAGAACAGAAAACATATATCCACATAAGAACTTGTATACGAACATTCATAGTAGCATTATTTATAGTAGCAAAAAAGTGGGAGTAATTCAAATGCCCATTAATTGATGAATGGATAAGCAAAATTTGGGACATCCATACATTAGACTATTATTAAGCCTTAAAAATGAAAGAAATTCTGATACGTGCTACAAAATAAACTTCAAAAACATTACGTCAAATGAAAGAAGTGAGTCACAAAAGACTACATGACATATTATATGATTTCATTTAAATGAAATGTCCAGAATAGTGAAATCTAGAGATAAAGAAAATAGACTAGTGGTTGCCAGGAGCTAGGGATATTAGGAGGAAATGGGGAGTGACTGCTAATGGATAAGAGTTTCTTTTAGATGTCATAAAAATGTTCTAAAATTGATTATGATGATGATTGATTTGGAATTCAAAATAGCCCAAATGTTATCTTGAATTATAGCTCCCATAATCCCCACATCGTGGGAGGAACCTGGTGAGAGGTAATTAAATCATATGGGCAAGTTTTTCCCATGCCGTTCTTGTGACAGTGTATAAGTCTCATGAGATCCGATGGTTTCATAAAGGGGAATTCCCCTGCACACTCTCTGTTGCCTGCCACCATGTAAGACATGGTTTTGCCCCTCCTTCACCTTCCATCATGATTGTGAGGTCTCCCCAGCCATGTAGAACTGTGAGTTAATTAAATCTCTTTTTCTTTATAAATTACTCAGTCTTAGGTATTTCTTCATAGTAGTATGAAAATGGAATAATACAACAACTCTGTTAATATGGTAAAAACAATTGAATTCTACAATTCAGAAGAATTGTCTGGTATATGAGTTATATCTCAATAAAGTTGTTATATATATATTAAAAAAAAAAAAAAAAAACCTGACATGCCAGAGCCTGTCTCCCAGAGAGCCATCTGTACCAGCTGTTACTTATCTATACTGCATGAAAGTTATATGCTAAAGAAGAAGAATTATTATTGGAGAAGAGCATTATAAATCTTTTACTCATGCATTAAGCCAAATATCTAAAGAGGTGACAGAAGTTCTAGCTAGAGTGTTTAGACAAGAGAAAGAAATAAAAGGCATCCAAATTGGAAAGGAAAATGTCAAATTATCATTATTTGCAGATGGTATGATCTTATATTTGGAAAAAACTGAAGATTCCACTGAAAAAACTAGTAGAACTGATAAACAAAATTGGTAAATTTGCAGGATATGAAATCAGGATACAAAAATTAGTAGCATTCCTACATACCAAGAGCAAACAATCTGAAAAAGAAATCAAGAAGGTAATCCCATTTACAATAGCTATAACTAAAATTAAATGCCTAGGAATTCATTTAACCAAAGAAGTAAAAAATCTCTACAACAAAAACTATGAAACATTGATGAAAGAAATTGAAGAGGACACACGCACACACAAAAATGGAAGAATATTCCATGTTCATGGATTGGAAGGAACAATACTGTTAAAATGTCCATACTACCCAAAGCAATCTATAGATTCAGTGTAATCCCTATCAAAATACCAATGACAACATTTTTCACAGACATAGAACAGACTACCCTAAAATGTATATGGAAGCACAAAAGATCCAGAATAGCCAAAATTATCCTGAGCAAAAAGAACCAAACTGGAGGAATCACATTACCTGCTTCAAATTATTCTGCAGAGATATAGTAACCAAAACATTGTGGTACTTGCATAAAAACAGACACATAGACCAATGGAACAGAATAGAGAACCCAGAAATAAATCTGTACATCCACAGTGAACTCATTTTTGTCATTTTGACAAAAATATACATAGTGGAAAGGACAGTCTCTTCAATAAATGGTGGTTGAAAGCTGATTGTCTATATTTAGAAGAATGAAACTAGACTCTACAAAAAGATACAAAAATTAGCCAGGTGTGGTGCCATGTACCTGTGCTCCTAGCTACTTGGGAGACTGAAGTTGGTGGATCACCAGTGCCCAGGGAGGTCAGGGCTACAGTGAAAGATGATCACGTCACTGCACTCCAGCCTGGGTGACAGACTGAGAGACCCTGTCTTGAAAAATAGTAATAATAAAATTAAATTTAAATTAAAAAATATGTAGTTAGAATGGATAAGATCTAGTATTTGATAGCACAATAGGCTGACTATAGTCAAAATAACTTATTGTACATTTCAAAATAACTAAAAGAGTTTAACTGGATTGTTTGTAATGCAGAGAAAGGATAAATGCTTGATGGGATGGATACTCCATTTACCCTAATGTGATTATTATGCATTCTGTGCCTGTATCAAAATAGCTTGTGTACTTCATAAATGTATGTACCTATTATGTACCCACAAAAGTTAAACAATTATGTACCCACAAAAGTTAAAAATAGTCAACTAGGAAAAACTAGAGGTGACAGCTAATTTAAATGCTAAAAGGGATGTTTGCTACAATAATACAAAACTCATTAGAAATAAAAGTCGAATATAAATATTCAAATCCCTCTCCTAACTACTACCTGTCCCCGAATACCATCTGCAGCCAAGCCATAATAAACCCTTTTAGTCTTTAACTATCCAATGTCTAGACTACCCATTCACCTCAAAGTAAGAATAACTTTCAGAAATTTTTCTTTTTTAAGAGAACAAGTTGAATCATAACTTCGAGAGCAGACAGTAACTATACAGGTTCAAGTCGTCTTTTTCTTGTAAAAACCCTGTAATTATATTTGATTTGCATAAAACTCGTCTACTAGCCATTCAGTAATTCTGAATAGCAAAGAGTGTCTGGCTTCAAGATGCTCCTCCCCGCTTCTCTCCTGCACTTTTGGCTAGTCAGAAGCAAAGAGTTGGCCAACAGGACATTCTCATTCAGCCTGACCCACCTGCCAGTAGGATCTGTCAACTAGGTGTCCTGGCTGAGTCTGAGCATTTCTCAGCCCTTGCCCATAGGGAAGCATTGTGCATCACTGTCTTGGATAATGAGGAGGAAGATCATTTTTATTGTGTTTACTACTCCTGTGCCATTTGCTTACTTCCAGCATAACTCTCTTGCTTGCAGGTTGCAGCTCAACAGATTTGTTCTTGCACTGCAGGTTTGGGAGGGAGATGGATGTAAGCCAGAAACTGAATTCATTTTTGTTTTGTTCTTGGCAGGTAGTACATGCCACACTACTACCCTTCCTGCTCTTGTGCGCACACCTACCCTGATGATGCAGCCTTCACTGGATATCAAACCATTTATGTCTTTTCCAGTGGACAGTAGTTCTGCTGTTGGGCTCTTTCCAAATTTTAACACAGTGAGTAAATTCATTTCTATTTTATTTCTGTCCTCCTCCATTGCTTTCATTACATTTGTGAATAGTCAGTGGATACAGCCTGTTTCCAAAATATGTAATTTTAGACCATATGTTGGATATGCTGCTCAGTTGTTCTATGAAAGATGATTCTTCACCCATGGGAGTAGCCCAAACAATAGCCAGCATCTTTATTATACAAATATTTCCACAGAAAACTTTTCACCTGTTGTGTTGTACAATTTTGATAAAATTTTCAGTGGCTTTGGAATATATGTCACTTCTGGGATGTTATTCACATGCTCAGGAACACAATTTAAAGATACCAAGACACATTGATTTTTCCCTTCTCTTAGAAAGAAAAAAAAAATGAATGTAGGCCATGTCTCTCTGGCTGCATTTTTATTTGGGAGATATTTTAGATAAAATGTGACTCTTACACAAACAAAAGTTATATTTGGGGGCTGTTGTAGATTATGTGAATTTGACTCTATTAAGAAAAAGAAAAACACTCATTTTAAATCTACATATTAGTTATCTGCAAGATACTTTGACATTTTAAAATCTACGATAAACGTTAGTGAGTTACCTATAATTACTAATGTTCTTCAGGTCTGCTGACTTTCTTGTATTTGAATGGAAAACATTTTGTAGGTATGTCAAGTGGAGCATGAAATATTTCAACAATAGAATTTAGCATAAAATCAATCTGTAGCCAGATTCTAAACCTTATAGTAAAAGAAAAGGTTCAACAGTTCAGGTGAATGCATAAATTGTCAGCTTGGTTGATAAATACAGTCAATTGGGGCATGATGGTCTACATGAATGATACAGCATTCTAAATGCCGCTGTAATAAAATTGCATTATCTACACCATGAGACAGTGAACATCTGAAGTATTGCGAAATGTTTCATTTTGCAAACTTATTTTCTGTTTGAAGTGAAAACAGCAAGAGAATTTTTCCTTAAGGATTTTCAATAAAATCTGCTGACAGGCCCTCTGTCAGGGCTTAGAGTTGTAAGGTAATTAGGGGGTAGGGCATCGGCCAACTTTTTACAGAGCACTGGCCTTGACTTAGTGAGTAAACAGTTGAATGTTTTTGTCTTCTTTGAGGTTTTCAGAGACAAGTCAAATAGTTAATGAAAGAAAAGCTATAAAAGGTGAGCATTGTTCCTTGAGTAGTAGAATGGCTCAGTAGGATAAATCATGCCTGCCTTGGTTCCATCGATCCAACTCCTCCCAGAGCACCACATTACACCATTTCAGAGAACGTGAACTTGATGATGCCAATGGTATCCTCTATTCAAACATTTGTGACATATTCCAAACATAACTGAATTAAGCTATACTTCATAAAACATTTATGAGGTCTTTGGAAGTTAGCATTTATAGCCATTGCAGAAATCTAGCTGCTGTCAGGAAGCAGCATTCATGGTACAAGTAGTCATAAATGGCTTACTGTGGCAGACCTCTCTTTATTTATTTTATTTTACTTTTTACTTTATTTATTTATTTATTTGTTCGAGACAGCTTTGCTCTGTTGCTCAGGCTGGAGTGCAGTGGCATGATCTCAGCTCACTGCAGCCTCCACCTCCCAGGTTCAAGTGATTCTTGTGCCTCAGCCTCCTGGGTAGCTGGGATTACAAGCGCATGCCACCATGCCTGGCAAATTTTTGTATTTTTGATAGAGACAGGGTTTCGCCATGTTGGCCAGGCTGGTCTCAAACTCCTGGCCTCAAGTGATACGCCCGCCTCCACCTCCTAAAGTCCTGGGGTTATATGTGTGAGCCATTGCACCGGCCTCTTTATTTGTTTTTTTAAACATAAATAATATATGAAGACTTATTCCAAAAATTCAAATAAACCAGCATTCAAGGTAAAATTAGAAAGTCACATTCCCTACCCCTGCACACACTTTTACTTCCTTCACTAGAGGAAGGTGGTCAACAGCTGGTATCGATCCTTCCAGTTCCCTTCTGGAAGTAGTTATGCATATACCTAAAGGGTATCTAGTCACAGTTTCATTTTTCACAACTGCAGTCATATAATTAGCACTATCTGTTAGTCACATTTTTGGTTATCGAAATGTCTTACATCTGCCTCTCTGTTTTGAAGAGTTGTAAAACAAAAATTGAGATAATATTGATCATAAAGGATTTTTAAAGATAAAATTACAATTTCATAATAGTTTATGAATGTTGCATAGAAGATATAGATGCACTAATATGTCTTTTTGTTTGATTAATTATACACAGCAGTTAATCTTATTATATATTTGAGAAAACCCAAAGAATAATTATATTAATAGAAGTTCATTTTTTTTTCTTCTTGAAAGAAAATTAACATCATTTTCAAATAAAAATACTGTTTGGTGAAGGTGAAGAATATCACAAAGAATTACATTAAATAATTCTTTTACTCTCCCTATATTATGTGCATGGCATTTATTAAACAGAGAGCTCTTCTAGTAGAGTATTGAATATTAAGTCATTATAAGTGGAACCCCTATCATCTTGTAAGACATGAATTTATGTGATCATTGGGTGACCTATGATTTTTCACTGTGAGTTGCAACTTAAATTACTCTAATCCTTTTCCTATAGACTTTTCCATTCTGTTATCCAACTCACCCAACAGAATACCTAAGGGAATGTCATGAAAGTCATTGTCTACATTTTCCTAGGAAAATGCTATTATATCACCATTTATAACTACACTGGACTATTGTATATTTGTGATTTTTTCATCTCTCAAAGTACTTAGACCTCAAAACGTTTTGGTAGGCCATGATTATTACTCCTATTGTCTAGAGGAAGAAAGAGAATTATTGAAGGAAGAACTGAGACTTGAATTAGAATCTTTTTAACTTCAAAACTCATGTTTGGGCCCTATGTCCTTCAGTCTTTTGGCCCATATCACCTCCCACCTCATTCACTGTGAACAAAGCTCAATCAGAAATCTTTTGTACTCTTTTCTGGAGCTGTGGTAGGCAATTTTCAATAGAATCATTAAATAGAGGAAATGGTTTTTTGAATGTGTATAATAGACCTCTATAAACAATACGAAGCAGAAAATATTTGAAAAACATCTATAATTTCTTGTTGGCAAATTTTTAAAGTATATTGTACTCAATAGTCTACCTGTTCTTTGAAAACAAGGTGAAATTTACCATATCTCTTTATTTTTAACCAAAGTTAATATTAGTAAATATAAGAAATGAGGCCAATTTTCATCTTATAATTATTATCAGAAGAATGAAAACACTATGCTGCGACACCATAGCTGAAAGTTTTGAAGGTTTGATGTTTTGTTATTCTCTTTAAGTAGATTTTTAAAAATATATAATGTTTTCCTCTACTGAGACCAGCTCGGCCATAGAGACCCCCCACCCAGAGGCACTGAAGGCATTAAGAAGCAGACACCCAGACAGAATAGCAAAGTGGGACTGTTTGGGGGCCAACAGTCTTCTGAGCAGAGAGCTTCAGCCGGCTGACAGCATTCTGGGCTGAGGGCCTCGAGCAGACTCTGACCTACGTATTTATTCTCTCTGAACAATGATTATTATTAGCAATCAGGTGTTTTGTTTTCTCATAGAACCAAGACAAACTAGGTAGGCAGCTGGTGCCTACTTACCACTGATCAAGGACAAACTAGAAAGTATTCTCCACGAGGGAGCCACAGGGAGCAGGGTCACATATCCTGTGCTTAAAGAATTGTTTTAACTGGTGTATGATATACATATACTGTTTTGCTACTTTAGAATGCCCTAAGCAGTTTTCCACTTAGCAGGGGGTGGGGGGGTGGCTAGGTTTTTTTTTTGCCATCATTCTTCTTAGCAAATAATATAATTTTATCATGCACTCAGCATTTCCCAGCATTCCTCTTTCTTATAGTGAAGTATAATATCTGATAAACATAGAAAGAATGAAATGAAATTATGTTGTATTCCAATATAGAATAAATGCCCGTTCTATGCTAAGTTGTACCCAATGAAGAAATCTCGGGTTCTTTTAGTGGTTGCCTTGCCTTATCCACCGCAACTGACACAATCTCCCTCAATGCTTATGTATGAAAAAATAAGCAAATAATTTTAGTCTTTGTATAAGCAGAGTTTAAAGAGACATGATAAAGAAGATGGAGTATGGATCATTGATAATTTATGATGGAGTACATGCCAAGGACACATGGCTGCAGGATGATGATGTTAACTCTGTGCTTCAGCAGTGTACTTTACAGAGGGGATGTTCTGAGGCATTTATAGGTAAAAGCCTGTGTGGACCAAAACATAAAGTTTAAAAGATCTTGATCCTAATATTCCAAAGCCTGTGCCTGGCTACCCACTAAAGCTCATTTCCACCACTGCTACCCTACCTTCAACTATGTGTCATTCAAAGTTCAACTTAGATATCACCTCCTTCCCAGAAAGTCTTTTGTGACTCTTCCGGTCTGAATTAAGTCCCATCCTCTGTGTTCCAAAGTAGCCCCAGATTACATCAATTATAGCAGTTATCACACCATAGCCTAATTACCTGCTAATCTTTCTTCTTCACTAGAACATCAGATCCTCGAGGACAGAGGCATCTTATTCATCTTAGTATGTTGGGTGTCTGACACAGGCACTCAACAAAATTTTTTGGAAGAGAGGAAAAGTCAGAAGGAAGTGCCCCAGTTCCTTGGTTTTCAATGTTCATACTCTCCAATCTAGTAAAAGGAATATTAACATTTATGAGTCCCTTCTAAGACCAGGTGATAAGCCCAAGTGCTTAACTTTATTTTTATATTCCTGAGAACTATCATTGTTTTCTAGCCTAAAGGCAGTAGTTACAAACTCTATTCCAGCTATAGTGCCCAGTGCTCTCTGTTTGGCTGGTGTATGAATATTGGGAGTTTACTACATTCCTTGTCCCAGAACCCAGCTTTAAGAGTATTTAAAAGCAAAATTGTTAGTGACTGGATTTTATGGAAAATATATGTAGTAAAGAGTATTAGGTTTGGGAAGAAG